AAAGTAGGAACAAATCCACTGAAACATAAGAGGATGTAGAGACCACTCTCTGGCATAAGTAAAACAGTCAGTTCACCCAGAAAACCTGATGATGACAAAACCTTGTCGAAACGTTGTACATTTGCTGTTATGTTAAACTTATATTAAAGTTTTTCTTCATTACCCATTCAAGCCGTCTCCAGCCATTATTATAGGAGATAGAGGATACTCAGGTTCATATGGTACCAACTGACCATCATGACAATGAGGTGTGAAGAGAACAAGGGAGAGATACAATAGAAGACAATAGATCTCTGGACATACCCAATTGATCAGCCAATGTCCATTGAAAAGAATGCATATGAGTGCTCTCAAGAGGAACAAGGGACTTTAGAGAAGACAGAGTTCCTAAAATAGAAGGAACCTCTTGTACAGGAAGAGAATGTAACATGAGAGCTTTGATAACCAGAAGCTGTATATTTTAAACACATAAAAGAGGTTGACCTTGCCAAGCAACTGAGGTAAAAAGAGACTTCCCTGTGAAGTGGATACTGGGTGACAAAGAAAGTTAGACAAACCAACCTCAACAAGACAACTAAAAAAGAAGGTCTCAACCAACAATGCTCATTTGTATGGTACAAGAAGGAGCCAATTGATCACATAGTAGCAGAAATGAAGGCCCAATGTATGCATCCTCCATATGAATGCCCTCAAGACCCTTAGCCAACCTGAAGGTAAGAGCCCATACAGAAAATTTGACAATCATTAATGAATCAGAGAGATGACTGGGTTATTAGAATGTAACAAAATGCATTTGAAACATTGACCTTGGTCATCCACAACCCCAAAGAAAACACCCACATCGCAGTGAGAAAACCAAGAAATGACAAGAAATTGGTTACCCCTATCAAAAATTACATCTGTCCATCATATGTAGATTACATAACTCTCGTGGAATTTTTTCCAAAAATGAAACAACAGGATGAAATTGAAATTTGACAAGAACTTTCCTTAAAGAATGTAATTTCAGAAAAAGTGAGTAAGTGAGTGCACGCAGGCCATATTACATTATCACTGGCAGAGACGCTTTAGCCTCTGACAAAATTTTTTGCACTTCTTTACAATTTTAAACCTTGTTGGATGAGCCAAAATTTTGCTTATTTTATAAAAATTATCAAACCTTTCCAATATGAATTTTAAAACACAAATAATACATAATTAACTAAAATATAAAAGTAAAACCTGAATGCAATTTAACTGTCTATCAAACTAATATGTATAAGGTGAGAAAAAATATAATGTCATTCTTGGAATTTGACCAAGTTAGCAGTATACATGCACTATATATATGTACTTTGATCATCTGGGCAAAGCCTGTACTTAGGCACAGTAGAGATGAAATAGAAGAAACAAAAGCTATTTTTAACCACGAGCTCATCATGTGACAACAAAATCGAAGTTTTAATTATTGTTTTAGAGATTTCTTTTGAAATAAAAGAATAAAAATGTATATAATAT